TCCACGAAGCGTTATTTCCCACACTCTGCGTCTGCTCGACTAATTTGAGCCTAAAGACCCCGAATAATTGCCATGGGCAAGCCTTCGCTTCATGGACCACGTCTATCCTGTTTCTATCCCTAATGTCAAGTCCATGATGCCCTATGCTCTATTCTCTTCTGTGCCAATCCACATATGTTGTGGTACTGCTTGCTTTTATTAGGACCAATGTTGAACCACGTTTGTGGGTTGGCTGACCAGATACTATGGCAGAGAAAGTGCTAGATTTGATATTAGGGATAGAACGAGGATAGACGCTGCGGAGATTGCAGCTAGTCGGCTGACAGTAGGCCTGTTTTTGTGCCAGACACGTTTTCCATGTAGCAAAGGCTTGACCATGAAAATAACGCATAGGCTTTAGCCTCGAATTAATCACCCAGGCGCAGGGCGTGCGGCATAACACCTCGAGTAGCAGAGACTGGGTGGCAGAGGTTGGGTAAAATACTTGAACCATGGAGCTAGGAGACGGCTGCTACGGGGCAATTGGGAGACTGATAAAACCTAGGGCAGGAGAACTGTAGACTCTGATCAACCTTCCAAGCACAAGTTTGAAGGGGTTGTGATAGCGCCAGCGTGGAGTTTGAAGGGTTCTCATAAAAGCCATTCAAAAGGGCACATCATACTACATTTAAATAAGCAAAAAATTGTGATAGTGAAGGTGTGATCCGAGGATGTGCGATGTGTGAATCGCCTAGGACAGGAGAAGAGATACAACTGTTAGCACACATTTGGTCAAAGGATCGGCTCAATCTGTCTCTTTGGCGAGTTGTAGTGTCGTGCTAAGACTGGCAAGACTCACTGATGATGCCGGCGAAACGTCTACGAATATACCACATCCACGGTCTGACTCTGGCAATTCTCATGAATACTATGGACTCCGGACTAGATGCGTTCCTCTAGGTCGTCCTACCAATATGACCAAGTTGCGAAAACGAGGTTAAACGACTTCTATACATCGAAGGGTGACTGCGACCACACAAAAGGTTACATAATTTTGGTCTTCGTACCTTCGATTAAATTCTCCTTAGTTCTTTTGAATGCTTAGACTTTATTTTCTTCATCTTTTCACCGGTTTTGACGATGTATCCGCAACTAAGTTTATTATTGTATATGCTCGCCAGCTTCAGTCAGCCGACTGCTCGAGCTTCTGAACCTCTACTATCCCTTTTAGTAAATTCTGTCAGATAGTAATGTGCTTAATACGAAACAGGGCATCTGGGACAACGTCGTCCATACCTCTTATATGGCTCTGTGCAATATAGCCTATAAGGCGATGGGCATTTACCTGAGGCGCTCGTGAATACCCTACAAATATTTAATCCCTTAATATGTGGAATTAACTTATTTTGAGCATGTTTGAAAAGCTGATAAACACATAACTAGAAATTTACAGCCTAAAAGTGAGCGTTTGGAATATGTCTTTATATGTACTGTACTTTATCCCTCCATCTCATTTTGTCTTGTCTTCTTTCATGATTGGTTTCGTTTATACTGGAGTCAAATATCTCTTATTACGATCATGTCACTAGCTGAGTTGATATTATATTGCTCCAAGGCTAAAGAGAGCCAATAGGGAACAAGCACAATAGATTATTTTCAACGGTACTGTTCCTTCATTTCCCATTTCATTCGACTTCATTTTATTTTAATCAAATTTTACTGTAACTGGTAACGCTTCATCAGCTTCATTGTTTACACACAAAGCAAAATATAAAAAAGCTTGGTCCTAATCAGCTATCCTTAATTTTTCCTCATGGCACGCTGGTCGCCTTCTAGTTTGTTGATTAGGTGGGCACAGTTTTTCATTTACTATTTGAACCTAAAATCACATCTCATATATATTACGCCAAACCTGGCACTTGAGTGTTGCCTTGATCTCGTTCTCATTACTTGGTTAACGCAACAGTCAGACCTTTTGGAATCTCCCTAGTTCTGCCTCCTCTTTTATAATAGTCCTGACAATTTCCAGAATCGCACCATTGATTTGGTGCGATCTCTCTTTTGCCCCGACCAAAATGCGTAATGAGGTCGAGTCGACACTATGCATCTAAAGAAGAGTGTAACCAAGCCTATGCCCATGCTATCTTAGTCTTCGTTTCTATCTCAAATTTTTCACATTCGTATATTTGTTCTTTTCAAAACACTTTTTTCAATATCACTCTAGGCCATTAAAAAAATGATACTTCAATCTCGGACTTCTTACTAACAACCGGTTTAAAGCATAATGCTGGGGTCAAATCAGATTCTCGCCAGCAGTATTGAGCCCACCATTAGACATGATAAACTGTGCTCTTTCGCACAAAGACAAGTCGCTCGCATGGCACACATCAGAAGTCGACATTCACTTGACTCAGGTGGTTAGGCGGGCTGATCTTTCAAATGAACGGACCTCTCCATTACCCTATTTCTTTATGGCGACGTTTGTTCTTGCCCTCTTCCTTTGCTCATCCTCCTATCAGCGCCTTGCCTTAACGAATCGTCTGTGTAAGATATCGAAGTTGGATTTCCGAGAACCAGGAATCTTCCTTTAAACGGTCTTACCCCTGACAAAGTCAACCTTTTTCTCGGATGTCAATCTTCGCACATCGCTTCTAACGTGCGTCACTTCTACGTAAGCCGCTCCTTACCCCCGTCTCACCCTCATCTGCACCATGAAAAATTCGGTTGCGTAAAGTGGGCCGCACTGACCCAGCCTCTATGTCTAAAGCAGATTCCTTCAACAAACGTGTAATTAACTCATCATTAACAGAACTTGCTCCGCAGCAGCAATGACCACCGAAATTCTGAGGCGTTATGCTACTTTAAACGTCACTTCGCGTGGCTACGCAACTGCTCATAGTTGCCCGCTTCCTGCAATCTTCTTCCTATTCCCCCTATGACACAAACAGCTCCTTTATTGGATCCATCTACCAATGCATGTCTTTTGATCATATACAATCTCGACTCCACATCTGTTGGTTCCATAGTATCATTCGTCTAAGGTGTCGGAACATTTAAACGGGTCCTGCTGAGCTCTTTTGTTAGTTAAAAGAAAATGAATTATCTTTAGCTCTTCTGCTGAAAGGGACTTCGTTAAGCGCCTCGGGAATTTTCGCTGGGGACGCATTCGAATTGCTCTCTATCACTACCGCTCCTTGTTCACTTCTATCCTGGATTATTATTTCTGGCCCCTACGGCTGTCTTTCATGTTTAATTATAAAAATTAAAGTTAATCGGTCGGTTATTTGATTCAATGAGGATACTAATTATATGTGTGATTGTTCCTTGCATTCATTTGTTTACTATTTATTCGCCTCTTATCTTTTTTAGATGCGAAGCTTGTTCTTCCCAATCGGATCATCTGTCGTTTTTACCCAAACTGTTCCCGACTTGGCTGTCCTTTTTATCATCCGTCCTTCCCAACACCTTTGTCAACTTCCGGTGCCACTACCGCTGCCTCTACACTCGCTTCTCCGCCAGCCAGTGGCACAAGTCAATCGCAAACCACTGCTGTGGTTACAAGCCGCCTCAAATGGGTGGCGCCTGGAAAGACTGGTTCTGTTCAGCTTTCCAAGGTTGTGGATACTGGCCAGAATGCTCTCCGTGTAGAACAATAAATAGCATCATCTGCTTTACTGTTATGATAATTAACGAATGGAAACTGATGTGAACACTTTTTATCTTTGGCCTGCTACGTTTTGCTCAAGGTGATACACTAAACGAGATAGGCACATACCTGTCCGTACATCATGTGCTCATGAGCTATAGTATCTTTTCATCTCGCCAGTTTATCTTTGGGCATATCTGTTTTCACGAGCTTGCATAAGTGTGAGCACCTAATACAGCGTTGTTGTACAATATCATTTTTTGCTCAAAATAAATGATTCTCTTTCCACACTTTCTTATTATTAAGTTTGAGTAGCTCTCATCAGATAAGTTTATCCACATTTTTTTGAGGAGCGTTCACCCTTCAGTTACCTCGGTCACTTTCAATATATGTGAACAAACCAACTGGTTCCATATACTAGTCAGGACGTTGACGCACCAGTGCTGACAAGCTTGAGGCGGAAACCCAACCCCTCGTTGAAAATTTTGAGCTGGGCTGCTGCGTTGCTGGATTTGGTAAAGCTTCCCTTCTTCCTGATGCGATAGTCTGAATTTTAACTGTCTCCTCAAAGGTGGGAGACCTTTGAGCTTTTCGCCTCCATTCGTTCTATTCCGGAATGGAGGTAACTAAGTTGTTATGGTGCCTTTTTTCTTTGCTATTTCAGCTTCTTACCTCTTCACTTATTTTGGTGTGAAATCCCAAAGGCGGATGTGAGATCAAATGTCTAGCTCGAGGACATCAGGATACATTGAACTAGCCATGCAGCTTTGGGTGTGCAATGCTACGTAGATGGTGTGAATTAGTCGTGGGCGCACTGGACCGAAAAAGGGTGATTTGTTGTTGCATATCCGGATCAGATCGGAGTAATGGGGCGATGGAGGCCGAATAATTACGTCCTGATCACACCTCACTTTGCCCATACAGTGGGATTCCAGTTCAATAAATTCGGTGTCTTTTGTAAATTCCCTTGTAAACGTAGAGGCCCGACCTTTGATCGAGGGATTTCTAGTTTCGTAACTGCTCTTTTTAATGTCCTCAAAATGAGTAATCGAGCTCATTCATGTGTCAGTAGAGGTAGAGGACAGTGCGCCGACTGCTTCGCACAAATCATCAGTCTCTTTGCAGGAAAATCCTCCGGTTGCTATTGGTGTAACTTTTCGATTACCTCCCATAAAATGAGATAATTAAATTCTTCTTCGGAAGCCAGCTTCGCTTAAAGTGTATATATCAGCAAGGCCCTCCCGGTCGATGCATTACATGAAGTTGTGGCTAGCTTAGAGGATCTGTCAAAACGAGTTTTCCAGAAAACTCAGAGCAAGACAGACCCCTAACCAAAACCTCCAGCTTGTGTTACGAATAAAGGCAAAGTCTCGCGGATGTATCGGATTAAGGCATTCTTCATTTGGTGGCTGATGCTACAACCGTTGTACAGAAAATAAGGCTGCCTTATAGAGCG